GGCGAGCCCACGGCGCGAGTACTGTTGTGACGCCAGTCTCGCGACCTTGCGGACTGTGCGTCTCTTCGGATTGGTGGACAGGCAGCCAATAGGCCAGGGCCCATGCTGTGATTGGCCGCAGCCGTGTTGACGGATACATGAGAAGAAAACGCCGTGGTAGCTCAGAGTGTGGAATCGGGCGCGAACCTGAGATCTGAGGAGAAGTGTGGAAGCGCGTCCGAGGCAGTTTCGCGCACCCTTTCCTGAGTGGGGTGTGTGCTTCTGCTCTAGTTAGCGTGGCCGAGCGGTGCTGGGCACTTGGTCATTTTCTTCATAGCAACAAAGCAGAGGGGTGTTTTTCAAATTCTAGTGTTTCTTTTTTTTTTGAGACGGAGTCTCGCTCTGTCGCCCAGGCTGGAGTGCAGTGGCGCGATCTCGGCTCACTGCAAGCTCCGCCTCCCGGGGCTCAGGCGATCCTTCTCCCTCAGCCTCCTGTAGCTGAGACTACAGGCGCCACCGCACCCGGCGAATTTTTGTAATTTTTCAGAGACGGAATCTCGCCATGTTGCCCAGGCTGGTCTCGAACTCCTGGGCTCCAACGATCCGCCCGCCCCGGCCTCCCAAGCGCTGGAAGCCCAGGCGCGAGCCCCGCGCCCGGCCGCCAGCTGCTTTCTGGGGGGCGCTCCCTGCCTTGCTCCGTTCTGTGGCGTCCGGGGCCCGGCAGTGGACACAGGCCCTCAGTCACCCAACAGCTCAGGACACTGCCGAGCGCATCGACTTTCCCAGAAACGCCTGACCCACGCCCTCCACTCCCAGACTAGAAAAGCGGAGCCCAGCGAAGGCCTGGGCTGAGACCGCCCGGCGCTGGAAAAGCCCCGCCTCGGGATGCACGGGAGGGGAACACGCCCAGGAGGGGAGGATGCCGCGGTCGATTGGGGCTGGGACTGCGCGCCCTCAATACGAAGGGGACCCGGACGCCGGCCCTGCGCCGCCGTCTCTCCGAAAAAAAGCTCGTCCGGCTTCTCTCTTGCAGAACGGAATAACCCGGCCCCCGGCGCTCAGACCTCGGAGCAGCACGTGCGGGCCCGATCGCCTTCGGCTCTTTCCGGCCGCTCGGGGCGCTTCGGGCGTCCTCGGGGCCGCCTCGCTCACCTTCGGCTATTTCCGCGTTCCTGGCGCGCCGTTGTCCCGGCAACGCGCGGCGGCTCAGCGGCCTGGCGGAGGTGAGTGGCCTCAAGGGCTAGGGCGGCCGAAGGCAAGTTTTAAATTCTGAAACGTGCTAAGTTACCTTATATTTACATCTCTAAATAAGTATACTTATGTCAGAATTCTTTACCAATGTGTAAGGCCATGATTCTGAAGGCCAGCCTTCTTTGGTTGAGAATGAGGCAGGAGAAGTGGGCTCAA